GTTTTTGTGTGTATATTTGTGTTATTATATTTATATAGCTTGTAAATACCGTAATAAACGGCCTCTTGAAAAACAGGTGCCTACGAGCCCTGAAGAACTACCGTTTTAAAATATTTTTAAATAATAATAATAATAAATAATTGCTGTCGAGCGTAGCGAGGCAGCACACTATTCTTAACACGCGGTGGTTTCTCCAGAGTCCACTCGACCCAGTCTTTCGCGCGATCTATGTATTGTCGAAATCTCGATCTTGTGTCTGTCTGTCAGGATTTCGAATTTCCGGGGAAGTAATTAAGCTTCAGTGCCTTAATTATTTTGAGGGGGGAGGTCGAGAAAGTTTTTCTATTGCGCAAGCGTGTTTTCTTCCAATACATGTGCTTGAGAACAAGACGAGAAGTCAAGGTTTTTAAAAACGAACGGCAAACGATGGAAAATATTCAGAAAAATCAGGTAGGTATGGCTTTATTTATTTCTGCTTATATACATCAAGGTGATGACCTTTTTAGTGCCCAATCTAGAGGCAAACAGTGTGCTTTCATGAGTTTATCAGCAATTCAGTAACAGCCGAAAATATGTCTCTGATCGATTGGTCAAAAACAACATTTAACAAATCCAATGTCTTATTACAAGGGGACAAAATGTACTTAAGAGCTCTGAATAACGGCTTAATTGTCTTAGAACCAAGTATTGAGTTCTTGTCTGTAGATAACTTACCAAAAGTTGTCGGTGGTTCATGTTGTAGGAACATGTTTTCGTATGAGATTGATCTGATGTCACAAACAAGTAATGCACAAAGTAACATAAGATTAATCTAGATCTGCCCATTGTGGTGGAAAGTAACATGGATTTACCCATTGTGGTAGAGCCCATTGAGGCACAAAACAAAAGCGATCTACCCATTGTGGTAGAGCCCATTGAGGCACAAAACAAAAGCGATCTGCCCATTGTGGCAGAGCCCATTGAGGTACAAAATAACATTGTCATTGATCTGCCCATTGTGGTAGAATCTATTGAGGCAAAAACTATTGATCTGCCCATTGCGGTAGAGTAGGTTGAGGCAAAAACTATTGATCTGCCCATTGTGGTAGAGCCTGTTGAGGCAAAAACTATTGATCTGCCCATTGTGGTAGAGCGCATTGATTATATTCCACTGTTGCTGAGACTGGCAAATGATGTTGACGAAATATTTATTCACATCTTTACAGTAAATTATTAATAATCAGGCTTAATGAGATTCCTATAGCAACCCAGTGTGGATTGTTGTCTGCATATATTAACTTACCAGCAGTAATAGCATGTCAACTGACTTTTCTATGACGGTCTGTTTATATCTCCAAGATATGTCTATTGTTAGCATAATATGAAATAATTCCACCGGCCTACTCATATGTTCACTTGACTGTGTTGCTACATTTCAGGGTATACTATATTTTTCGATAATGCTCACAATTTATTTCTTATTATATAGTTTTGCAGTTCTGACTGAGTACAATCCTAATCATTACAATGAATGGTGTCATCGGAAGCTGATGTATTAATTAAACAAAAAATGTTAAGGAATATAGATTTTGTCGCCCCATTAGCAGATTGTTCAGGTGTTCTGTGATAGGGAAGGCATTAAAACAATAATTGGGACAAAAACTGACTTAGTATTTATATATTATGTGATATTATACAATATTTAGTGGCAAGCTAGCCATGGCAACTGGTCATGCTATGCTAATAAACCTGTATCATTTGGATAATGCAAATATAAATGCTATGGCTAGCTTTGCCACAGACAGTATTATAATTATACATGGAAAAGTAAGAAATTGTAAGCATTGAAAGTATTCATATTATACTGTCCATGCAGGCCATGCTAAGAAAGTAGAATTCGAATGTTTAGCTAACCTTCGACTTTGTGCAAGGTGTTTGATATTCAAATTGCATTTTTCCCACTTCCTGAACAGGTACAGTATCTTATGGGCTATTTACATGTTGGAAGATGGGGGTGATTTTGATGTATTGGAATAAGGCTAAACAAAAGTTCAAATGCTGGTTAACAGAAATTAAATGTTGTACAGAAGATCTAGCAGTTCAAGCAGCTTATTATAACCAGGGGCGTTGAAATGGCTGTAAAAGTGGGGGAGGAAGGCAGGTAACGACAGGTAACAGTGTAGGGGATCCAGGGGCATGTCCCCCGGGAAAATTTAAAAACTATATTCACTGAAATGCCATGTCCTGCACTTTAGGAGATTTACGTATACAGAGTTCTAAAGCTAACAAAATGTCCTTTGTGGTTTATTACGTTTACTGACAATTGTTAAAAGTGGGTGGCCCAAAGACATTTAGGACCAAGAAAATAAGATTCAGATAGATTATAATTAACTGTAAATGAAAGGTTGTTCAGGCAACAATAATCAGAGGCGTCAGAAGCAAGGGGGGGGGTCCTAAATGTCTTTACATTTAGGACCACCCCCCCACCCCCCTTGCTTCTGACGCCTCTGATTATTGTTGCCTGAACAACCTTTCATTTACAGTTAATTATAATCTATCTGAATCTTATTTTCTTTTGTAGTATTTTGCTGTATTGTGCACCATAACTTATTTCAATACATCAAAATAATCCAGCTTCACACATCTTGTCCTGGCAAAGCAGGATCATATTAACAGCCCCTTATTCAGCAAATTGTGCATGCTGCCTTTGATCTCTTCGGGGGGTGAGGCAGCATTTTCCTTGCGATAGTAACTCCTAGTAATAGTGCATTATTAAGAAACACCACTTGTACTAGTATACTGGGGCATAGTAAAGCTCCACTTAACAAACAATTTGTTGAAAACTATGAAACCTTTACACGATACAAGGCCGTTTTTGTTATTTTTTTCCTGAGGGGCCTGGATCATACCTTACAAGACGAGCTCCAATACCTGCCATCTTGGCTTCAAGAATCATGCCCGAATTAACGTTCCAGTATTTAAAGAGTTCACTGTTTTGCACTTTGCTATGTTCTCAAACTCCTGGGTGTAAAGCCGAGCTGACTTAGTACCATTGGCAGCGCCGCAGGATTACGCCGCGAAATGCGCTTCGCGCCGTTTATAATTACTACTAGTTTACCCACAGGGTAGTGAAAGCTGCCTTGGTATAGCATTGTTCCCAAATCTTTAAATGAGATTTTTGGTATGTTACGTATTAATGCTCAAAACTAATGCGTATAATATACCACATGAGATTATGACTAAAATCAAAATTTTTAATTTTCTATACGTTTCTCAGGCCCGTTTCAGACGGCGTACTTCTCATGTGCCGAACTTAATTGATGAATTAGGTACGGCAGAAAAGCCAACCTCGTACCCAGGGTATTTGCTCTTGGGGAGCGAAATACCCTGGTATGGTATGGTCACGTGACCCGCGGATTTTGCGTAAAATGGCGTATTGTTTACTAGGGTCGGGGGAGTGAGTATACGTTGTCACTCCTAGTAATTATATCACGCTTTTAAATTTTAATTACTAGGAGTGACAATGTATACTCACGCCCCCGACCCTAGTAAACAATACGCCATTTTACGCAAAATCCGCGGGTCACGTGACCAGGCCATACCAGGGTATTTCGCTCCCCAAGAGCAAATAGCCTGGGTACGAGGTTGCAGAAGAGCGACGTATGAATCCATTAAGTACGGCAGAATTTGGAGCGGCAAAAGTTCGACACAAGTTCGGCAGAGCTTGTCGCATTATGCAACGTTGGAGCGACATTGATTCATACACCGCTCCACTCATGTGCCAAACTTAATTCAACTTTGGTCTAAAAATAAACTTATTTATTTTGAATTTTATTGAGGTTTCGCTGGCGAATGCGCCCCGACCTTGTCAATAACATTGTATTTGGTACGCCGTTTGAATCACTTCACTGCCGTTCTTGTGTCGCATCTAATATAATTAAGTTCGGCACATGAGAAGTACGCCGTCTGAAACGGGCCTCAATCGGTAAAAAAAAACTCAAAAAGTATGTTTCACTCTTTATCTGTAAAATAATGCTAAAATGAAGAGATTTTAGATGATAGGCCAAAGAGAAAATGATGTTTGAAATTCAGTACGTTTTGCTTAAATGGCTGTAAATATAGCGTCAATTTTAAGACATCATTGATAATTGTATTTTAATTGGCAATTTTTAACTATTATTTTATGTTTCTCAACCGGCAGACGCATTTAAAAAGGTAGCTAACTTTATAAACTGTAGAGAATAAAGCTAAAACAAAGTAATTTTGAGAGGAACGCCAAAAAGATTTTAGGTTTTGAATACTTTTCATTGCAAATACGTGACATTGAAAAAAAAAGCCTCTTAATATTTTAAAGAATAAGAGTAAGAAATATTCGTAATGAATTGGAATCATCCATAATTTATACACTTGAATGTGCCGTATTAACTCAGCGCTCGAAGTTTCGTATCGAAAGAGGAACAGCCGAACAGGTAGGAAGAATGAGTGTACTTATCAACTGATCTAACGCGAGGAAAAGATCAAAATGGCAGGTATGGCTGTGATATCTAGTATATAAAATTGTATAGACAATTTGCCCACAAATACGGTGCTAGGTCAAAACGGCCCAAAGTCAAAACGGCCCCGCTTCAATAACCATATGATTTAGACCAGGGGTTAAAGGGCAATGACAATGACATGCAGGTGACATTTAATTACATGTGCGAGTGTGCGTCTCACTAAATTTGCGTGTTTAATAATGTTTGTCAAAGAAGGCAAAAATATATACAAGACAACCTCACATGTGGAATCTGTTCACTTACGCACTGCCTTGTGATGCCGTACAAGTACAAATACAAATGACAAAGCATTTTTAAAGGCTTTAAATCGTAAAACATAATTGGGCACGACTGATGGGCACAACTGATGGGCACGCAGGAATGGCCGACATATGCATGGCTTCGTGTGGTCTCCATCTTTGACTTAGTTTTCCTCCCGTACAGTTTCGTTTATCATGTCTTTTAATGTTTTAATGTTTGTCTAATATGAGTGTGGTTCGAGAGGATGAATCTTTGGATAGCTCTGTAACTGAGGATTATCCTATAATACAACCAGAAGAGCATTCTATATTGTCTGAAATTGGAGATGCATATTTTATATCGGTGTCAGACCTGAGTCATTTATTCAAACAGTGGCTTACTGCCTTGAAAATAAGGTATTGGATCGACTTCGGTAGCAACGTCAACTATATTGTAGACTGGTTGAGGATAACTAGTAAAGATTCAGACGGCGATCTAGTAGAGTTAATAATTGATCTTTATCAATTTCACGACGATGAAAATTCCAGCACCGCGGCAAATGGCAAACATCATCTCTTTACAGTCACTGTTTACATAGCTGAACAGATTTATGGGGTAAGAACGAATTCAATAAACTGAAATCATTTGCTAATGAGTTATGCTTGAGTTCGGAATTAAACGCCGAAACAATCAGTTCATTATATACAACTTCCTTTCATGACACGAGCGATGTATACGGAAGCAAGGAGAAACTTGATTTAAGTAATGTATCATTTGATGTTTTGAATGATGTGGACTCCTCGGATTGTGATGAAGATGTCGAAGGTATTGAAGAGAATCTAATATTAAAGCAACCTAGTACAAAATCTCCAAAAGTCAGACGCAGACGAAGCAAAGCACTCTCTTCACCTCGCCACAATACCACTAAAATGCCGCCTGGGGCTTGTCATCGCAGAAAAATGCAACGAAAATCATCCGTTCATTCAACACTGCCAACTCACAGTAATGGTTCTATAAATCAAAAGCAAATCATTGACTTTATAGAATCTATAAGTAATCGTGTTAACAAATTGGAACAATTGATGATCAAAATAGACTCGACTTTGGCTACAACAGACGTAGAAATACTTGATATACAGAGTAACTTATCAAACACTAAGAAAGAATTATCTGAGTCGCTAACTTCCCATCTAAAACATGAACTACGTGTTATCAAAGATTCGCAAAACAACAATAAAGACGAGACAAATAATCGTTTTGTCAAAGCCGAAACAGAAATTAAACGACTCCAAGGTCGTATTGGATCGTTGGTCGAAGAAAAATCTCAGTTACTGAAAAGAGTAGCTTTCTTAGAAAATTCAAATGCAAAGCTCCATGAGGAAATCACATCCAACCACACCGAACCACAAGATCAACAAGTTAACAACCATATCTCTCAGAGCGAAACCAAGCCACAAGAAGAAAAGGTTCCAGGTGCAATAGATTCTACCGCCGCGAAAGCCAGTAACAAAAATAATGAAAACCAAGAGCAAGTACAAGATCAATCACCAGAATACGACTTTGTCATCCTTTGTGATTCGAACAGAAAGTATATCAACGCAGATCAGCTTTATCCAAAAGGAAATAACAAAGTCATTCCATGCGGAAATACAGCCAAAGCTATTGACATTTTAACCTCCCCAAGATTTACGGTGAAGCATGGCATCATTATCAACACTGGCGTCAATGATTTGGAAAGTTTATCACCCAAAGATATAATCGAAAGCCAAACTTGTCTAGTGAACATTGCTACAACCAATTTTCCGGACAAAAAGATCATTATGTCGAGTATCACACCTAGACGGGACGACCTGGATAAATTTGTCTTCGAGGTCAACAAAGCAGTAGCCCAAAACATTTGTAAAATCCCTAATGTCGTTTTGGTGGACAATGGAAATTTACGAAGTAAGGATCAATTCTACTTTGACACAAAACATTCGAGTAGGAGACACGGTATACCCCTATTTGCAACCAATTTAAAAAATGGGATTCGAAAATCTTTGGGCATCAATAATCGAAGAATTTCTGGACAACATCGATTTCCATACCCCAAATCAAATCATGGATCAAGTTGGAGTGATGTCGTGAAACAGAACCCCCCACTGAATAATTCACCAAATCAATCAACCATAAGTGAAGTTAAAAACCATCTCGTTGATCTAACCTCCATGTTTAAACAATTTCTACAAACAACTGTCAACCCATCTGCACAACCGCCATTTCACAATTATCCAGCTCCACAACCAAATAATCTATTTCCCCCCTCTCCGCCACTTTTTCCGCCACCCTTTCCACCATCAGGATTAGTTTATGGTAATCCACAATTTGGAACCTAAAGCTAAGTAGAAAAGCAATATTATGACTAGTTATGTTTGCATGGTGGGGTTTGCATATATTTATTTTTGTGTGTACACTCATTTATACAGGTTGTATGTGTGTGTGTATATTGTGTATGTGTATTACGTGTTCTCAGGTATGTGTATGCTCAGTATTATTTATGTTGTATAACTGTACGGGTGGATGTCTTAAAATGCCAATTAACAGAAATTTTCTGCGGCTTTGTTCTTGGAATATTGAAGGTCTTTCAAGAAAGGTTGCCGATTCTGACTTTATTTCCACAATTCGTCAATTTGACTTTATTTCTTTAGTAGAAACCTGGTTATCTCAGGATAACTGTAATTTGAATCTTGATGGGTTTTACTCATTTTCAAAATGCAGAAAAAAAAACCCCAAAAATGGCTGTAGAAACTCAGAGGGCATAACAGTTCTAGTTAAGTCTTCCATTCGTAAAGGAGTCAAATTTCTTGACAAAGAAAGTTGTGAAGAATTTGTTTGGTGGAAACTGGATAAGGATTTCTTTAACTTAACACAGAATATTTTCATCTGTTCAGTCTATATTCCTCCAGAAAACTCTCCTAGGGAACATAGATTGAACATAAATCACTTTGAAACTCTTCAAAATGACATAAATAAATTTGGTAATCTAGGTGAGATCATTTTATGTGGAGATTTTAATGCAAGAACAGGAAATTTAAACGATTTTGTTGACGACTTTAGCGTATACAATAATTCCTCTGGTCCAGTTGATTATCGGAATTCTCAAGACTGTAACACCAATGTATATGGGAGAACTCTGGTCGAATTATGTTGTGAGAATTCCCTGATTACTTTAAATGGGAGGACTAAGGCCGATTTTGTTGGACATTTCACATGTCACACTTATAATGGATCAAGTGTTGTAGATTATACTATTGTTGCTCAGAGCCTTTTTTCTTCCTTAAGTCATTTTTCTATCTCACCCCTCACAGAATTTTCGCACCACTGTTTCTTGTCCTTTGCTATAAAGGCCACTATTTCGGATTTAGTGCTTTGTGATTCTAATATAGCATTAACACCACACCCTTTAGCCTTCAAATGGAATGATGGTTTGAGGGGAGAATTGTATAATATCTTTAATAATGAAAAAATGAACGACCAAATGGATAAAATTTTTATTCATTCAAACGATAATGAGATAACCATTATGGTGGCCGATCGCTATCATTCATTTTTTGTTATTATATAAAATAAAATAAAAACAAAATGAAAATGAAAATAAAATCAAACTCAAAATGAAACTAAAATCAAAATAAAAATGAAAATAAAATCAAAATAAAATCAAAATCAAAATGAAATCAAAATGAAAATTAAAATGAATATAAATTTTATCGGCCTATCGCTATCAAAATTAATTTGAAATGTAATACAATTTTAAAATATTATTCAAGGGAAAATAACAAAAAAAAGTTTTTTCAAAATAAATTGCTTTTTTTTTCAAAAATGAAATGAAAATGAATTTTGTATCGGCCTAGCGCTATCACAGTATCCCATGTGGCCTTGCGCGCATAGCTTGTGCTTCCACTGATATAATTATAAACATTTTGACTGTAGATTTCTATTGTAAAACTGATATTTTTCCGAGTTTTCCAAATCTGGTATTTCGAGAACAAGCACACATCATAGAAGAATGAAGAACATTTGGATGTTGAAAGAAACTAAATCGCAGGTGAATAATTTGACATTTTCACCGTCGAAAATCAGAGCGTCAGAACACAACACACTACACTGTCTGTCTATACTCTACATATTACAAAGTAATTTTGATTTTTCAGTATAAAATAGTCACTCACTACAGTACTAAAACAATTATTTACGTTTTTGAGTGAATAGGTAGGTTTAATAAGCAGCATGCCATATAAGATATTAAACGCGATAGTTTGCAGTGTATTTGTAACAAAGTGACTATATGACCGGCAGCCGGTCACAGTTTATCAAATACTAAATGGCCGGCAGTCTAGTGACTATAGTTGAATATAAAAACTTTTGTTTGCGTTAACTTTTACCGAGCTTGCCATTAGCTCATACGGCAAGGGCGCTGCGTGCGGAAGGTTAAACGCAGTCGGGGTCGGGATGTGTTTTGTCTTTTCTTAAAATTTTTTAAACTTTTTTTCCCGACTTTTCTAACTCTCAAAAGGTTAGGGTTAGGGGTTAGGGTTAGAAAAGGGTTTTGGGTTGGGGATAGGTTTATCTTATAAAAATTCAACTTTAACAATAGTCACTAGACTGCCGGCCATTTAGTATTTGATAAACCGTGACCGGCTGTCGGTCATATAGTCACTTCGTATTTGTAATTGACATTTTATGCTTCGGCTGATAAATTTGTTCAGACCAACTGGCCAGGGAGCAATTGGTGGATTTGGTAAAAATTCAATACACATGTGACGGTGAAGGACCATATTTATGAATAAAAGTTGACTTACATAGATAATGAGTTATAGTGTTATTCTAATGAGTTTCACAGCCATCTTCCCTTCGATATAGGCTATGCACCACAAGTCAAATCCAACAAGAAATTAACCTTACACTAGTCCCTGAAAATCAAACCAGCGAGCTGATCTTCTGGGACTGGTCAAATCGATCCATGCAAACATGCTGTTCCGCAACATTTTTTCCCCAACGAATATTGGGGCAGGATATTTTCCACCCAGTTTGTTAGTGCATGATTTATTTTTGTTCAGAATAGCCTTGCAGGAAATTTTTTTCAAAATCAACCCCCCCCCCCAAAAAAAAAGTTAAGTGGTCGGCCACTAATGCTATGAAGCTTCTTCTATCAGTCATCAAGAGTATAACAGTCAATAAACACCTGTAGTTGTTGTGTCAGTTTATATTACATTAAAGATCTTTATCATCTCATGTTGTCAATGTCATCTGCATTTTTATTCTATACTTTTCATGTGAGTCGATTGTTTTTTTTATGTGTTAGCCTTGTGTTTGATGGTGAATACATGGAATTTTGTATCATTTTCTCATTCGAGTACAGCATAAGCATCAATACACTTGAGTTTGCCCCCCGTCAGATTCACTGTATAATGCCATAGTGAAACCCAAGAATTGGCATGAGATCACTCAAAAAGAAGTGATAAGTGTAACTACAGTAGAAGTTTGTGGCTGAATTGATTATCATACAATATCTATAAATTCTATATTCACAGTATATAAACTTCAAGGATATGATGTTAATGGGCCATTCCATTTAAAATCCACTCCCCCCACCCTATGGATGAGGTCAGTAAAATTTTAACCCCTAAGAAAAAACTATCAAAGTGCCGACACAAATCACCCCTCAGAAATTTCTAAATTTTCCCCTTACCCCTCAGAAAAATTGCAGAGATCAAAGGATGCCGACAGGCTAGAAACGACTTTTTGAGTCACCCTTCAGAAACTCATCCATAGGGGGTGTGTGGACATTAAATGGCCCAACAGTAAATAAAACATGCCAGGTTTATAGCCATTAAATGCCATTTTAACATCGACTTTGGTCCCGGGGTTAAAATCTCCAACATATTGGCGTGAACTATTGTATATGTTGGATTATCTACGGAGTACTTTACATGGAATGGGCTATTCCATTTAATATCCGTACACCCCCTGTCGAGGATACATGTTTTTCATGGTTATTCACCCCTGAAGAATTCCAAACTCAAAACCCTTTACCCCTGAAGAATTCCAAGCTCAAAACCTTTTACCCCTGAAGAATTCCAAGCTCAAAACCTTTTATCCCTGAAGAATTCCAAGCTCTGAAGAATTCCAAACTCAAAACACTTTACCCCTGAAGAATTCCAAGCTCAAAACCCTTTACCCCTGAAGAATTCCAAGCTCAAAACCCTTTACCCCTGAAGAATTCCAAGCTCAAAACACTTTACCCCTGAAGAATTCCAAGCTCTGAAAAATTGCAATCTCAAATGTCTTTACCCCTGAAGAATTCCAAGCTCAAAACCTTTTATCCCTGAAGAATTCCAAGCTCAAAACCCTTCACCCTGAAGAATTCCAAACTCAAAACACTTTACCCCTGAAGAATTCCAAGCTCAAAACACTTTACCCACTGAGCTATACTTAATATATCTGGAGATCGTGCTCCAATACCTCGTCAGTCAAAAATGTGTGGCCAAAAACATGGCGGATTTTGGCCAAATTTACGTCATTTTAACGTCACAATCGACCTAAATTTATGGTGAACACCACTGACCTAAAATGCTAACGTGACGAAAAAAGTTATTCACACCCCCCTTTCAATTTGCTTAAAACAGAAGGAAGTAAATTCAAAATTTCGGTCAGAAATTTCTATATTGAAACGAGACATTTGCAACCATGCCAACTTTTTGTTCAATTCCTGGTTGCCAAAAATCTACTGAAAGAAAGGACCTGTCCTCACATGCGTAAGGCTCGTATAATCTCTTTTTTTTAATAATTTAACGCAATGCTGTATTGCTGTATTGAATGCGTAAATTTGTGAATTCATGAAATTTATTGGCAAGCAACATACAATACAATGTTAGTGTACTACAGTGCAAAAGCAGAACAAAATTTTAAAATGTTGACAAGCTTGTGGAGCTGTTGTTGAGCAAGTATTTATTTTCATGCAAGTTGATGGATGTGATGCAGTGATGAAATCTTATCGATATCCTAACAGATAATGCTTAATGTTAAAAAAATTCAAATGAGAATTTTAACAATGTGATAAAGATACGACTAGCTTTAAATGTACAAAGCCTTTCACTCATTGTATTGTCTTTATTGTGGACTAAACCATGTGTTGTCTAGTGTGGCATTGTTTATAATAATTGTAAGTTATAGGTATCGTATATGAACAGTGTATTAACTAGACACTAAAAACAATTGTTCATTTACTTCAAAGCTTTCCAGATGAGAAGAGATTCCCTGAATTGCACAGCATATGGGTGAAGAATATAAGCAAACTTATGCCAGACAGAGTGAAGTTTGTTCCTATGAAAAATAG